GCCAACAATTGCTTTGCTTTGTCAGAAGCATCTTTTCCCCTTCTGTTTCTATCACTAATTTAGTCCCAAACTTTCTGAAAGAATGGTTAAAAAAAAATCTTGCAAAGGCAAGAAAAACAAATAAACAAGTGGGACTACATGAAACTAAAAAGCTTCTGTACAGCTAACAAAACAAGACAAAACAAAACACCATGATAAAATGAAAAGGCAACCTACTGAATGAGAGAAAATATTTATAAATCATGTATCTGGTAAGGGATTAATATAAAAATTTATACATACAACTCGATAGCAAAAAATCAAACAATCCAATTAGAAAATTGGGCAGAAGATCTGAACAGACATTATTCCAAAGAAGACACATAGATGGCCAAAGGGTACATGAAAAGATGCTTCCCATCACTAATCATAAAGGAAATGCAAATCAAAACCACAAGATACCACCTCACACCTGGCTAATATCAAAAAGACAAGAAATAAGTGTTGGTGAAGATTTGGAGAAGAGGGAATCCTTGTACACTGCTGGTGGGAATGCAAACTGGTGTAACCACTATGGAAAACAGTATGGAGGTGCCTCAAAAAAGTAAAAAAATAGAACTACCATATGATCCAGCAATCCCACTTTGGGGTATTTATCCAAAAAAAAACAAACAAAAAAAAAACGAAAACACTAATTTGAAGATATTTGCACCCCCATGTTCAGAATTGCAGTATTATTCACAAAACCCAAGAAATGGAAACAATCTAAATGTCCAACAGTGGATGAGTGAATAAAGAAAATGTGATACACACACACACACAAAATGGATTCCTATTCTGCTATAAAAAAAGAATGAAATCCTGCCATTTGTGACAACATGGATGGACCTTGAGGGTGTTAGACTAAGTGAAATGTCAAACAGAGAAAGACAAATCTGTGGAATCTAAAAACAAACAAAATAAGCTCATTGCTACAGAGAACAGACTGGTAGTTGCCAGAGGCAGGGGGTGGGGAGTAGGCCAAATGGATGAAAGGAGTCAAGAGGAAGAAACTTCTGGTTATAAAATAAATAAGTCCTAGGGATGTCATGTACAGCATGGTGACTCTAGTTAATAATACTGTATTACACCTGTGAAAGTTACTAAGATAGTAGATCTCAAAGGTTCTCATGACAAGAAAAAAACAACCTGTAACTATGTGTACTGACAGACGTTAACTAGACTTGTGATCATTCCACAATGTAGACAAACATCAAATCATTACGTTGCACACCTGAAACTAATATAAGGTTGTATGTCAATTATGCTTCAATAATAATGATAATAATAATTCTGGATGCCGTCGAAAACACTAGGTAATCAAGCTCTTCTGTCCCCTGGCCTCCTTTGGTGATATACCTCATACAGCCCTCCATCCTCCTGTTCCAGAGTGGAATGGGTGTTCTCTTGACCTGCCACACAGCTGTCAGCCTGAAATGTTACCCTGGAGCATCCCTTCATCAGCTTCCCAGGATCTGCCTTTTGTATGCTCCTGTTTGAGTCCCCTCTTTCTTCAATACTATTATCATTCTCTTTCTTACTTTACTCCCTTGTTTTACTGGAGCATATCCTTAAGTAGCTTCCTGAAAACAGATGCAGGGAAGGTTCAATTGTGGAGACCCTACTTACATGTAATATATTTACTTGTTTTGAAATTTTACATTTACATTTTTTTTTTTTTTTAATTTGAAGATCAGGGGTACCTGGGTGGCTCAGTTCGTTAAGCATCTGACTCTTGATTTCAGCTCAGGTCATGATCTCAGGGTCCCGGGATCAAGCCCCACTCTGGGCTCTACATTCAACAGGGAGTCTGCTTGAGGGTTCTCTCCTTCTTCCTCTTTTCCTCCGGTCTACCCCCGCTGACATGTGCACACGTGCTCTCTCTCAATAAATAAATAAATAAATCTTTAAATAAATAAATAAAATAAAACTTGAGAATTTAACTGGCTTTACTAAATGATTCACGAATCAGACAGCATGCCAGCTAGAAAACAGAGGGCTGCTCTGAGGAGTTGTACAAAAAACATAAATACATTTGGTGATGTGGGCTTAATTTCTCTTTTCATTCATCCCCTAGACACAGGGTGGGACCTTCTAACCTGAAAGCTCATGTCCCACAGTCCTGGGAAATTGTGCTCCATCATTGATCTGGTGATTTTCTTCTCTCCATGTTCTCTATTGTCTCCAATACTCCTATTAGTTAATGTTGGACCTACTGAACTGATCCCACTGCTTTAATTTTTCTCACCCATTTTTCTTTTTTTTTGATCTGTCAGATATTTTTCTCAGCGCTATCGTCTACTCTTTTGTTGATTTATTCCTATCTTATTCGTAACTCCCAAGACTTCTTTTCTATTCTCACCTGGGATGGTGACCTGAGCTGAAGGCAGACACCTAACAACTGAGCCACCCAGGCGCCCCCTGTTGTCGCTGTTGTTAAGGCCTTTTGTAACCAAGACTCTCCTGGGATGTCCAGGGATCCTGGCTCTTCTTTCTTTTTTCAGAGTCAGACAGCTATGCGGAGACAAATGGAGTTTTACAACAGGCAGGCCTTACTAATAGCAGAACTCAGACATTTGGGGAGGGGGGCCAACTACCACATCTATTAGCCTTTTCTTAGGCTGGTGGCTTCAAGAGTAGATTCTTCCAAGTACTGATTTACAGGGGTGTACAAGCCTGGAGGGGTAATGACATTGCAGTCTTATCATCTGTCCCAGGCTATACATCTTACGAACTCAAGCCCAGAGTTCACCTTCCCGGAGAGCAAATCTCCCATAGTCTGCCAGGTGCAGTGTTGGAGACAGAATCTGGGGGTACAGATGAAATCCTTCTTTTCAAATCTACTTCCCAGCCCTTGGAAGTACCCAGAACCTCCAATGCCCAGGTCTCTGGGGTTCTGAGGTGGGACTAGGCTGCCTTCTTCAGGTCTTCCCACCATAGGCAGGAGACTGGGTCCCAGCCTCATCCAGTCTGCCGTCAGTTACCATTCATTCCCCCTCTTTCCACCTTCCAAAAATTTGTAGGTGTTTCTTCCCTGCAGTCATCCCCTAACCTGTTCAGTCGTCCCTTATAAGTTACCATCGTCTCTGGTTCTTTACTCTCATCTTAGTAAAGTGCCAGGAAGGGCCAGATACAAGTAGGAAGTTCAAGACACCATGCTAATTTATAGAGCATGTTGAGCTATGCATCCCCCCAACCCCAAGTACACCATGTTTTTATTTGCCCCCACCTCTGCTCTTGCTGTCCCCCTGCCCGGTCTATCCCTATTCTCCTCCTTTCGTCCATTTCCCAACCCTTAATGACCCTTCAAGATCAGACTCAGGCATCATCTCAAGCGGGAAACTTTCCAGATCCTCCCCACACAGGCTGCATTTATCTCTGGCTTGACACACACCGCATAGACCATAGTGTGCCAAATCACCCTGTCTATAAGTCTGCCTCCCTCCCTAGATAAGAAGTAGGCACGGACTGTGTCTTTTCCAATGTCCTGCCTCCAGTGTGGGGAAAACCATCTGGCACATAATAGGTGCTCCTAATATGTGTTCAACTGACCCACTTCAGTAAGCTCCATGTTGGAAACATTTTCATTCTCAAAGGCGGGCAAAAATATATATATATATATATATGGCTCTGGTTATTTGCCAATGTCCAAATAAGAAAGGCTAATCAGAGAGCACCAGGAAATGAAAACAGCCAGATGTGTTTGAGAGCCAAAGTCCAGGAACGCAAAATAGCTTCCAACAGGGGTGATGTATATTTTCCTAGTGATTCAAAATAAATATATGTTTATTAGGCAGAGAGAGATTTAGCAGGTTCCTTGGCTAATGCTGCAATTTTAAATCCATTTAAGATAATTTTCTTTATCTTGAATCTATTTTTCTCAGTAACCAGGATACTTAACTGATATGCCCAAAATCCATTTGAAAAAGAAATAATCTACTCTAAGCAAAGGACACACTCTAAATTGGAAAAAAAGAGACACTACAACTCTTAACAGAAAACAAAGAACCCTGTTAAACCAATGTGGACGCCTGCCTAGAAAATAGGTTTTCCTCCAGCGTCTTGGTTGTATGACCGATCCCTCTTCTCCATTTCCCAAGGAGAAAACAAATAATTCTTAAATCTGAGCCTGCAGAACAAAGACATTTCCTGAGACAAAAGACCTAAACAAATTGGTTAAAAGGTAACACTCTCAAACTAAACAGTGGAAGCTCAAACAATCATGGAATGCACTTTCTCACCCATCAGCTTGGCAAAGCGTTTTTGAAACACAAGTACCCAGTTTGGGAAGGATCAAGTTAAGATTCCAACAAGAGTGAGGAATGCCATCAACTTTCTGGAGGACAGTATCCCAAGATATATCTAGAGCCTCCAGAGTACTCCTACGATATGGCATAAGCACTATACTTTTAGAAGTGTGGCTTGAGAAAATAAATACCAAATCACGACACACGAGGATGTGAGTGAGAAGATATTCGTCAAATGGTTATTTACAATAATGACAAACTGGCAATACCCTGAATTTCCAACAATGGAAATAATGATGCAAAATGGTCATAATGATCAGCGTTAATCATAATTAATGACATCAGCAAGCGCTCATGAAATATTAAATGGAAGAAACAAACAATACATCACATGCTCATAATCTGTATAGAAAATTGACTCAAACACAAAATGCCAAAATTTGACTGACTGCTGTCTCTAGGTAATGAGATCATGGCGAGTTTTGTGTTTTACTTAAGACTTTTTGTATTGAGGACCTTCCTATGTGTTTCCGGATTACTTTTATAGAAATGTCAAGACTTTATTTAGATAATATTTCATAATCCACAGTACTCCATTTGTTGACTGTGAAGGACACTAAGTAAGCCAGAAGCCCCTCTGCTAGTCACAAAGGACCTGAGAACATGTCATAGACTCGGGCCTGCCCCCATCCTGTGATGTAGCAAGCCGCTCTGAATGACTGAATCACAACTTACTTGGTGGGACGATAATCCGGAATGGAACGATCCAGTGAAATTTTTTCACTGAGGTAGGAATTGTAGCCATACTTCTCGTGGGGTCCCTTGGCTTTCTCTTCTTCAGCCGGGGAAAGGGTAGCAGGAAGGCCCCCTTTGCCTCGCCCACCATAACCTTCAATGAGCCCAAGGGATTTGGATAAGCCTAGAAAAAGGAAGGAAAAACAATTATTTGAAAGCCACCACATCAGGCTATGTCACTCAAGCTCAGATATATGCTTCAATGGCAAGTCTAACATTACCTGCCATGGGTAATTACTCCCTCGATAGAGCAATCCAGCAATGTGCCCTGAACACAATCGTATTAAGAGGAAGGTCAGGGCAACTGAGAGTTCTGGGACTAAGTTTAATATCCAGTAAGGAGCTTCTCCCTCCTCTGGGGAACTGAGTGGACGGGGGTCTACACAAGGGAGAGACTATCTAAACTGGGACAAATGCAGACCAAGAAGGACACAGGAATGGGACCGACGTGGGGCTGTCAGCCAGGCCTGTTTTCCTTTCTCCGTGGGGCAACAACAAGCCTTGGTATTCCACGAGCTACGTGCATGACATAAAAAAAGAACAGCCAGTCGCGAGGAACGGCCAAACCAAAGGTGCTTTTCCTTCATTTGAACAGAGAATGACATACAGATTGGTTTTATCAGGAGTTTAAAGTGTGTAACAACCTGACACACTTCTTTACCTAATGGTTTTATTTAAATTTCATCTAAATGGCAAAAAGAAATATAGAATGTTTGAGAATAAATCATAGAGGGGAAAAAAAAAACCCACAAGGGGGATAACCATGCCAAGTGGAGTAGGAGGCCTCTGTAACAAGCCTCACTGAGCAATAGCAAGTTCCCAGGATGGTGGCAGCTTTATACCTACTGTTCCATTATACAATAAACAGCTTGATGGGCAATTCTGAAATCCAAGAGTTATGGGAGGTTTTACTTCTGGGCTAGAAAACTTTTGCTGTTAAGGGCTCTCATTCCCTTTTGAATGCTCAAGCTAAGTTGCTTAGCACACCCACGAGCATGTGCACACACGCACGCATGTGCACATGCGCACGCACACACACAAAACACTTTATCCACAGAAGTCCCATTGCTCCTACTGGCAGGAAGAACATGGAGCGGAGATGTAAACAGTGCCCTCCGCTTTCATGAGGGGCAGCCCACAGAGCTGAGGATGATTCGAACCTCCCAGAAAGGCACCCCCAGACCAGTCAAAGGCCAACAACTCTGCTCCCATCACAGAACAGCACTCTATCACATAATGGCAAGACTTGGCCTGCTTCTCTGAAAACAGAAATGTATTTCCGTGATATCAAGATCAAAAAGCAAAGGTCGAGCAAGCATCTCAGAATTGGTCTCTGGTGAACATCATTTTTCTACCTGAGAATCATTTCCACTGTCCACTCTGAGCTCCAGGAACCCTGACATCTTTTCCACCTGACATCTTTTCTGCCTGCCATCATCCTGATAGAGGCACCCTCAGCTGAGTATTAGATTATTCCAACATTTCCCACCTGCTTCCTGGGCTTTGAATTCTCATTCCACATCAATGTGCCACAAACATTCCAATAACATCACCTTCACAATGCTCAAAAATCTCTAAGAACTCTTCCCATGTCAAGTGCAAATACATGCGCTGGGTTTTAAAATCACTTGTCATAGAACATTACTAGTAGGAATGTAAGACAGTGCAGCGACTTTGGAAAATAGTTTGGTAGTTCTTCAAAATGCTAAGCATTGTTTTACCATATGACCCAGCAACTCCATTCCTGGGTATATACCCAAGAGAAATGAAAAGGTCTGCCCACACAAAAACTTACACAGAAATGTTCATAGGAGCATTATTCATATTAGCTGAATGTCTATCCACTGATGAATGAATAAACAAAATGTAAAACCATACCATGAGACATTATTTAGCAATAAAAAAGAAGGAAGTAGTGATATACACCGTGACGTGGATGAACTTTGAAAACATGATGCCAAGTAAACAATGCTGGTCAGGAAAGACCACATATTGTGTGATTCTATTTATATGAAATGCACAGAATAGGCAAATCTCCAGAGACAGAAAGTAGATCAGTATCTGTTTTGGGCTGATGGGATTGGGGGAGGAAATGGGGAGTGACTTTTAATGTGTATGGGGTGTCTTTTTGGGTGATGATAATGTTCTGGAGTTAGATTGCGGCGATACGTGCATAAACTTGTGAATCTACTAAAGCAAAAAATGTTTTAAGTTCTTTTAAAATCAGAACATAGTCACAAAATATAATTCTTAATACCATTTTTTAATGGAGGAAGAAACCCACCAAGGCCAAAGTCATTATGTGGCCCTTATTCCCTTGAGGTTGTTAGACTCTTATCTATAAGTGACAGGTGCCTAAAGCACAGAGAAGGAAAGGAACACGACCTGAGGGAACGGGACAGACCCCAGACAGCCACCATTTATGGAGGTGCTCTCCCACGTGCTGGGTACCCTGCTAAGTGCTTTACGTGGAGTGTATTATTGTTTCGTCGACTCTCCTGACAAACCTCTGAGGAAGGTATTATTTTGATCTCTGACAAATGAGGACACTGAGGCTGAGAATGTAGTAACTTGGTCAAAGTTCCATGGCTGGTAAAGGAAGACAGACCGGGATTCTGGGTATAGTTAAGAGACTCAAAGGAGGACAAAACCTCGCCTCTGTGACAAATAAGGAGACCAATTCCAGGACTCTTGCAGCAGCTGACAAGAGAGGATAGGGGCCTCATTTTAAGGCAGTGGTAATAGTGACCAAAGGAGAGGAGAGTTTGGAGAAGTATTTAAGAGACACTGTCACAAGGCAGAGACAGACAGTGTTAGGGTGGGAGAGAGCAGGAAGAAGTGAGTGAGCCCCGCTTCCAGTGTGAGGACCAGGTGAGAACACTGCTGCCAAAGATGGCGCAGTCAGAAGCGGGTTTGAGAAGATGAGTTCCACTCTGCACAGGTAGTCTACGGGGCACCCATGGAACATTCCGACAGAGTCAGAGGTCCAGTGGGGAACTGAAACCCACGAGAATGGAAGTTAAGATGGAAGACGAAGGCCAAGATATGAGCCAGGAAGCCACAGCCTGGCAGGGGCTGTAGCCATGATGGAGGGTAGGGGTGGCGGGCTGGGGGCAGAGGTCGAGCAGCAAGGAGAAAGACAGATGATGCTCAGGAATTTCAACATATTTAGAGTAGGAACCGCATCCTTCAAAACTTATATCTTCTCCACTCTGTACACGGGCTCTCTCACTGAAGCTACACTTGAAGCTCAAGACTTCAAGGAACTAAGACTTAAAGGAATGGAGAAATGTCTCAGTATGAACCAAGTGGTTAAGCTTCTTGCTTATCTTCATAGATCCATTCAACCACCCTCTCTCCATCCACTAATGATCACTGTTTAGGCTTTAATTTTTTTAATGGTTTTATATCCATTTCTGTATTAAACAGGAAAGGTTGATGTTACCAGGATCACTTTAGAGATAACGAAATGGAGGCTCAGGAGGATTAATTATGTGACCTTCCAAAAGGAATGGAAATGGAAGACATTCCTTCCAACCTCAACACACACAAATGTTCTATCCAGGAAATTCTTCAGGAAGAAAGAACCCAGCATGGAAAACATGATGGTGATAAATTAATGATAGTGAACTCATTAAGAGGATATTGTATAGCAATGAAAATGAATTACTTGCCAATAAATGGATGAATCTCAGAGATGCAATGTCAAGTGAAAAGCAAGCATTAATTCATATAATTCCATTTATACAAAGTTTCAAAAGCTAATCAAAACATAGTTCAGAGATATAAACTCATGGAGTGAAACCAGAAACAACTGCAAAAAAGAGACTAGATCATCCTTGGGAAAGACACACAAAGGACCTCAAAGGTCCTGATAATGCTCCATTAGAAAGCTAGTAGGATTCATTCATTCATTCATTCATTCATTCAGTTCCATAATAATTCATTATAGAATTATTACCTGACATGTATATGATATATATAATGGATGGCATTTTGCATAATAAAAAAATTCATGCAGGGACTACTGACAGTGGGTTTTTTTCTCCTTGTCTTATGCACTTCTGCTCATTCACCTGGATTTTCCCTTTTTCTCACTAGTCACAAACTCAGCCTTCCACAGTTTTCCTGCCAGCATGGAGCCCAAGGTTCAAGGAGGGAAACCACTGGAATGGGACATGACTGACTCAATTCAACTGAGCAGCTTCAGTAGAACACATCTTGATTCTTCCTCTTACCTCATCTGTTTGGTTTGGTTAGCACATCTTTTTCTTCCCTTGATGACAAAGGCCTTCTTTTGGCCATTAAATGCCACCTCAGAGCTAAAAGGCATCTCAGCTGTGTTTGCCCAGCATCTTCCATGGGCAGCCTTTCCAACGCAGGCAGAAGGGCCAGGGAAGGAATTCATTTTAAAATGGCACAGGAATTAAGACTAGGAATGCATGCTAATCCCACCAAGAACACAAAGGGAATGACGGTTCCCAATGAGATTTTTTTTTTCCCTTTCTGTGGCATTATTTCTTCCATTATGGAAGGCACCCACTTAGCAGCCTCAAAAAAGATCATTCTTCACAGTGCAATGTGACAACTACGAATGATATATTTTGTGGTCCATGTGTTCCCATTTTCCCCCCAATTGAATCTGCCAGCAAGGTTCAACAAAGCAGCAAAAATTTTCACTGGCATTTTAATGTGCTTACTTAGCAGGCCCCAGAAACTACTGGCAAAGATAAACAAGAATTCAAGATCATCAACAAGGCTCAAGCTGGTCTTCACTTAGCCAGGAAAAGTCGCCCCTGGAGCCAGCTGGGATGACTCCATGCACCCAGGAACCTTCTCTTCTGAAAGTGCCTTTTGCAATCTGGTCAGAAGCAATTGTAGCCACTGCAGACCAAAATGTATTTGTTGGCCTGGAAGTCCCAATTGGCAAAGGGAAGAAGAAGAAGAAAAGAGGGAAAGAGGAGTGGTTGCTTGGCACTGGGTCTGGGAAGATGCATCATTCCCTCTATCTTCAGGCAAGGCCTTCTGAGTTATTTTAGCTAAAGACTGCAGAGCCAAGGGGGAGCTAAGAGGCAAGAAGCTGAAGATAAAGAGTGAGAGCAAATTGAGCTCGGTCATCCCATA